AGAAATTACAGATATATACACAGTGTACATTATCGTATACAAGCTTTCCGTATTTTTGTCATTCCGTAATTTTGATCTTCAAATGATACCAAATCGCACAGTAGTGCAGAGAATATCGCACAACGGGCGAACGATTGCTAAATCGCACAGTTGTGCGCACCATGTGTAGACGATGTGCGGACGGTGTGTGAACGATGTATGCACGGTGTGCGCACGCTATTTTTGGTACGTTGTGCGGTCCCACAACTGTATGTACCATAAAACAACAGAGCTACATCTATGTGTACCATAAAACAAGTGAGCTACATATATATGTACCATAAAACAAAGGAGCTACAGATATATGTACCATAAAACAATAGAGCTACAGATATATGTACCATAAAACAACAGAGCTACAGATATATGTACCATAAAACAACAGAGCTACATATATGTGTACCATCAAACAACAGAGCTACATATATGTGTACCATAAAACAACAGAGCTACATATATATGTACCATAAAACAATAGAGCTACAGATATATGTGCCATAAAACAACAGAGCTACAGATATATGTACCATAAAACAACAGAGCTACAGATATATATACCATAAAACAACAGAGCTACACATATATGTACCAAAAAACAACAGAGCTATATATGTATGTACCATCAAACAACTGAGCTACATATATGTGTACCATAAAACAACAGAGCTACAGATATATGTACCATCAAACAACAGAGCTACATATATATGTACCATAAAACAACAGAGCTACAGATATATGTACCATAAAACAACAGAGCTACATATATATGTACCATAAAACAACAGCGCTACATATATATGTACCATAAAACAACAGAGCTACAGATATATGTACCATAAAACAACAGAGCTACGTATATATGTACCATAAATCAACAGAGCTACATCTATATGTACCATAAAACAACAGAGCTATATATATATGTACCATCAAACAACTGAGCTACATATATATGTACCATAGAACAACTGAGCTACAGGTATGTGTACCATAAAACAACAGAGCTACATATATATGTGACATAAAACAACAGAGCTACATATATGTGTACCATAAAACAACAGAGCTACAGATATGTGTACCATAAAACAACTGAGCTATATATATGTGTACCATAAAACAACAGAGCTACATATATATGTACCATAAAACAACAGAGCTACAGATATATGTACCATAAAACAACAGATCTACATATATATGTACCATAAAACAACAG